CCGTGCTCAAGGACCTTGCGAAGTGACAAGGTTTCGGCGGGCGGCCGCAAGTAGGGCAGGCCAAGCGGCGGGGCCGACTTGGAGAAATGAAGCGACAAGGCGGTCGCTGGCGGTGGCGAAGAACAGGATCCGCGCCCGTGCGGGCACGGGCAGCGCAGCAAGAACTGTGGAAGCGGCGGCGGCTTGCAGGTAGCGCTCAGCACTGGAAGCCTGACGCCAACGCCCCCGCCAGAAGACGCGAGGGACGTCTTCCGTAGCGATATAGAAGTCTGTTGCGCCAGAGCCCCGCAGACATGCGGGCGTCAGGTTGAGCCCCTGACCCGCTTTGGCAAGAGGGACGCCCAGGGCCGAAAGCAAATGATTCCACCGAGTACGGAAGCCGCTCGCACCGAAAGGGGCGAGAGGATCGGTGGAAGCCAACCGCCCAAACACTTGATTCAGAATCTTCACCGTGCCCCGATCGGGGCAGCGAGCATGCTGCGTCGGGTACGTTCTCCTGGTCTTTGGAACAAGAATCGAAAGAAAAGCATCCCCTTCAACTTCGAGGCGGTCGCAAGGAAGCGACAAGTCACAGCGGCGTGACGCCAGTAGCTCGCCAGGCCTGAGGAACATCGTAAAGCCCATGAGCAGCAAGGCCGCCATCACAGGCCAGTCCCAGGCGAAACAGAGACCGACCATAGCGCGCAGCAGAGCGCGAGGTAAGGGCGGGCGGAGCTTTGGCGGCTCCGCGAGCTTCCATTGTTTCGCTACGTCCCAAGCTTCTGTTAGAAAGGCCTTCCAATGCGGATGAGCGCTCTGGATTCCCAAGATGGCATGAACCAGAATATAATGAGGGAAACCTGCATCATGAAGCCACACGCCGAAGGTCGCGAGGAAGCGGGCGAGAAGTATCCCGCTACGGTAAAGAGTGGCGGGCGGCACGCCAGTGTGTTCTGCTAACCACAGTTCGAACGCATCAATCGATCTCGAGCGACGATCGAGATACGCGGAGGCGAGGTGAGAATCGCGCACGAAGGGAGTGCGCGGAGGGCGAGCGGGCGCGGAAGGCGCAGCCCGACTAAGCCCTTGGCCTGCGGTCGGCGCCGCGGCTCCCAGAGAGATGCAGAGGCCGCAGACGCACCACAGGATGAGCGCAGGGCGGCCAGGGCTGGGAGAGCTGATCAGCGTGGCGGCCCTCCTGCTCCTGGACGCGTAGAAGGGCGGAACGAGGGTGTCCCGCCCGTCGGTCTCGAACCCCGACGCCTCCGCCAGCATCGCCCGCGCCGAGGTGAAGGATCCGCCCATGTTACGGTGAGCACGGCGAGCCCCTGCTTCGATCTCGGCGGGCAGAGCGCCCCCTCCCTCGAGGGTCGCCCAGTCAAAGGGCGGGCGCGGCTCGGCGCGCGCAGCTGCGGCCGATTCGGCGAGCTCGGAACGAGCTGCCGAGGACGTGAGGCCCGAATGATGTGGAACGGGCACCACCTCCGCGAACGCGTCGAGGATCTCGGACGGAGGGGAATGAGATCCCCACAGCGCTGCTGGGATGGCGCCGTGACCGTCCTGCACGTGGTACAGAAGGTCGAAAAGGCAGGCCAACTTGCCCGCGCGCCTCCTGTGCTCGATCTTTGAGCCGAGCCCGATGCCACGGATGGCGCCCGCCCCCATGGCTTGGAGGTCAGCGCCCGCGGGGATAGCCTCGGGCTCGACGGCGGCCACGTAAGGATGCAACCACGAGGCTTCGTCGATCGGCTCGGCGCCGCCTGTCTGAAACAGGCGCTTATAGGCGTGCAAGGCCTGCAGGAGGCAGTGCAGGTCATCTCTGCCCTCGGGCTCGGCGGCCCCTGCGGGTGCGAAAGACCTCAGCCACGACGCCGCGCTCTGGAAGGCAGCTTGCCAGGCGGGTCCCCACCTCACCACTGTGACCTTCTCACCGCCGAGGTTGAGACGCCACGCTAGGGCGGTGGCGGCCCCTGGAGGCAAGGGCTGCTCAACGGCCGCGGAGGCCGTGCGCCGCGCTGCGAAGGCTGCAGCCGCGGCGCTCCCAGCGTCGCCGCTGTGGGAGCCGCTGGGATGCAGCTCGTGCCCTGAATCTCGGCCAGGCGCGGGGCCGCTCGAAGACCCCCTTTTCTCGGCGGCACGCCCTCCGCCCTGCGGGGCCGCAACAGCATCGCTGGAGGAGCGCGTGCCTACCGAAGACTGAGGGGCCTGAGCAGCGGAGTCCGCGCGGGAGCTGCCTGCGTGGGCGTCGCCCGAGCTCGAACCATGGCGGGACGTGGCTGGCCGCTGCGCAGTAGCGGGGCTCGGGCGCCGCTTCGGAGCGACTCGAGGGGAGCGCACCTCGCGACGCCGAGGCGACGTCGCCTGACGCGAAGGCGCGCGAGAGGAGCCGCGCGCGACGGCCCGACTAAGCCCCTGGCCTGCGGTCGACGCGCGGGATCGCGACGCCGCACGCCCACCAGAGTGGTGAGGGGGCGGCGGCGGCGGCGGGGGCACGGGCCGCGGAGTCTCGGAGCCTACACGCGTGCCGCGGCCCCGAGAGCGACTGCGAACCGAGGCGCGAGCGGCGGGCGGAGAGGCCCCCGAGCGGCGAGGGAAGGCCGCCTGCAGGCGGCGGAGGACCTCGGGGTTCAGGCCCGCCACGACGCGCTCGAGGTCCATCGAGGAGTCTGCGAGGGCACTCAGCACGACGTCCTCGAGCTCCGTCGGAGAGTCCTCGTCGCACGCGGGCTCCGCTCTCGAGCGGCTGCGAACGCTCGCGGGCGGGGACCCGTCAGGAGTGTGCGGGCCCTCCGATGCCTCCCCCGCAGGCGGCTCCGACGGCTCCTCGGGCGAGATCGGGCCGTTGACGGGAGGCGACGAGCAGCCCCCCGAGGGAGAGGTGCGGTCGGTCCCGTACGGGTTTGGAGACCGCGTACGGCTGCGGGCAGGGCTGCGGCTCCGCGGTGGGGAGCCCACTCCCGCGGCGGAGCTGGGGCGTGC